GGCGATAGTCTGGGTGCAGCTCTCGGAATGCACCTAGCCAGCGGAATTCGTTGTACACGGCCAAAACATATTAACGAATGTGTTTGCCGAGCGGCCATTCTCCAGCGCGGAAGGCACTGTCACGTGAACTAGCGGTATATAAGTTAGCTGCGAAAATTTGTTGGCGGGATTCGATAACGAATGAAATCTTCGTGCTGATGCTAATTTGTCCACCCATGCGGTGTGTTCGCAAGCCTCGACTGTGCGAGTTCTCTCTCGCCATAGACCAGAAGCGCGACGCGAAATAAGACGAAAATTAATTGTTCAAGCAATCAATGGCAAAATACTATCTTTCTGACTTCAGGGAGTGAAGGGAGGAATGACTTCGATACATGGGACTGACACGCATTCGCAAAGCAAGCGTTTATGTGTAGAACGCGATATTGAAGACACAGAGGCAGATCGGTATAGAAATGAAATTGCTAGAAACCAGAACAGGTCATGAACCCATCCTTGGAGTAGAGGAGAAGAAGATGATCATAAGGGTGTCAACTCTGTTATTTGTTAATACGAGCATAACTACGTCATCGCAGTCCAGTACCCATAAAGCTGAAAAAAGATACTGTTATTTTTTAATTGCTGAATTATTTGCAGAGCTAAAAATTTATCTTAAACGTAGCCCTGCTTTGTATTCTTGGCTATCCGGGATGAGCCGCGTCTCAGTTGATTGGTCTGACGTTTTGGCCATCTTGCTGTGGCCTTATTCAGAGCTATACTGCTGCCAAGAGGTTGGCTTGTCTCATCTTAAGGAAAGGCGCGTGGGCCGACTGGAAGCAGTGGCGTCCAGTAGGAGTAGGGCGGGTGTCCCGTGATTGGCGGAGAAGGAAAGGGGGCGATGGCGAGTGACCAGCTGACGTAGGACAGGGGAGTGGGGCGGAAGAGTAGAAAATAGGAAACTGAACAGAAACCTAAAAGATGCATTTGTGTGGAAGGGAACGGCGGAAATATCGGAAAAAGGATGGTCCACCGGGCGGCCACGTCATTGGCCATCCGCGGGGCGTCACCGGATTGGCGAGGGGCAACGGCCCGTGTCCAGATGTTGCTGAGACGGAGACCATCATCTCTATTGAGGTTTGCGGGCCTCCTGGAGATTTCCAAAGCCTCTTTGATCAGACGAGCCCACCACCGGTCTTCTGTTGTTATGGTGCGGGTTTCGTGGTAATTGGCCAGGGGACCCGTTTTGGCGGCGTGTTGTGCCAAGGCCGACTTGTGGCTATGTTGAAGCCGGTCATGTCGCATGTGCTCCCGCATACGCTCTTCTACGGTGCGCCCGGTTTGTACGATGCACTCTGGACCACAGCTGCATGGGATTTCATAGACGCCGGCACCTTAAAGAGGATCCAGACGATCCTTTACCTGTACCAGGCTCCTTCCTCATATGCAGGCAAGTCTGTCCCAGTCTTCAGGCCGTAGGGTGTGACTGATATTCAGGTGTAATCTAGAGATCCTGCCCAATAGTGGCGATATCCGATCGTGTATGGTGGTTGCGCTCCCGTAGTAGCTGTTCGCTGGTACGCCGGAGGATCCGTTGAGCCGCTCTGGTCTTGATGTGATGAGAAACATTGAGAAATTGGGAAGGACATTGCAGTCGCGGCAACGTCAAAGGAAGGCGAGTTAACAGAGCCTCTTAGCGCGAGCAATCCTCAGTTGGCTGAATCTCTGGTCTGCTGGTGGATTTAAACATATACTCCCCGTAGAGGTTCGTTATATGGGTTCGTAGGCTTCCGTTCGTAGGGAGATGAGACACGCCAAGTAGAGAGAGTATAGCTCTGAAGAAGGCCACAGCAAGATGGCCGAAACGTCAGTCCAATCAACTGAGACGCGGCTCATCCCGGATAGCCAAGAATACATTGACTCTTGCCGAGGAAGCCTACGAACCCGTAGCACCGCTTTCACCGCCGGCCTGGCCGTGCCACCGCGCTGACAGAGGGCCCACAACAATCGGGTGGGTGACGCAACGGCGCAGAAGAGGAAGTGGGGGGCGAGGTGTTTTCGTAAATTTCACTTTACGACGCTCCTATTCGTCCGATTTGCATGATTGTCACGGCGTTGGGGCATGGAAGCATGTCGCCATCGCGCTATAAGGCCACATTTTTAAATTTGTTCTCGGAAGATTCAGAACTAATTTCAAATTCGCGTTTGTGCTAGATTTTTTTGGAAAAACGTCATCGTAGCGTAAATTCTATTTTAAAAAGGCGTCAAATGCCGTTTACAGATCGAAAATCGGACCATTGGTTCAGACGTTACCGGTAACGTAAATTTGACTTATTTTGGTGCTGCCACGTGGTGGCTACAAATTGTACTAGTGTCGGGACATTTAGCCTTAATATCATGATACTGTTCTCGATCTTACATGAATCAATTAATGCAACATTTCTTTAGTTACGTTATCATAAAATCAGATTAATCCTGAAAAGTACCTCGAAGTCAAAACTGGAACTATCAGCTGTCGCTTCAGCGCACCTGTCTGGCGGAAGAACTGACTTGTAACTCAGTAAATGTTATTAACTTGCAGAGCAAGTGGGAAACGAAAATAATGTTTTTTTGCATATGAACAGTTGGTGAAAGTTCTCATAATTCCGTTTTGACGCAGCGCACCTGCCTGTGAGGCAACCCGCCGTGCACTGGGGTCGGCAGGTAAACGAACCCTCACGAGACGACACTCTTATTGGCAATGAGAATATTGAGCCTTATTTTTTGTTATCAAGATTCTACTGCAGACATTTCTCTCTTCGACATTCCGGAGGTTTGTGCACGCGTGGACACGGCGGCTCACGTTCATATGCAGTCGAAGCCGACCAACATCTAAAACACTAGGATTTTCGTTTAGAAAGCTGCATAGCTAGATCGAATTGAGCTGCTAACTGGATGAGATTTCTAGTGGCTGGCTGCTCTGATGGGTTTCTCCGATCATCATCATCAGGCGAATGCCGGATAATATTCTAATGAACGGGCCCCGGGCCGCTCATAATGTAGTCTTCCTCTTCCTCGCCCTACCCTAACCCATTCCGCCAACATGCAATACACTACCAAATGTGCAGGGAGACCATTCGGGAGCTTATGACGCATCTGGGTTTGAGCGGTTCCCTGCTGGTGGGAGATACCTGGTTGGGGAAAATCCCGCTAGCCGATGTGTAGGTCGGCGCCGAATCTCGCCATGTAGCGGGGAAAGATTCTCTCCACTTCCTGAGATGAAAATGTGCACTACACGTACGAGAGTAAAGTCGCTCTTAAGTCAATCGACCTCTTCACCAGCCGTGAGTCATTCTGTGTAACGTGTCGTGGGCTGTAGGAGGCTTGGAGCGGGAGCGGCAGCGGCGCGCGGCTGCCGGGGGAGGCGGGGGCGGAGGCGGAGGCCGCGAGCCCGGCCCCCTCGCGCCCCCGCCGCCCGGCGCCGCCCGCCGAGATCTTCTGGACGCTGCCCGGCGGCGCGAGCGCCGTCGTCTTGGAGCCCCCGTCCGAAGACCGGCTTCTCTCGCGCCTCTGCTCCACCGTACGCGCTGCACTCGACACGCCAAGGGCGTTAAGTAGATGGTTTATTCCCCGTCAAGGCAGAAACAGAAAATCACGCGTGTAATAATACAATAAGTTCGTGTATAATTTTTCAAACATGTAAATAGTTTTCGCGCAATTTGGTGTGAAATAGGAATTTCAAAAAAACCTAAAAACTGTTGCAATTTTTTTCTTTAAATTTTTTCCTCGTATAAAAAGATAAAATTCACGGTAAAAAAGGTGAGCACAGCCTTTACGGCAAATTTTCTGTATTTTAAAAAAGTGAAAGAAAATAACGTTGCAAAAGTATATATATTCATGGTACAGACGAAACAAAATTTCTGTTCTAAAAATGAATCTTTAAAGTTGATAATTAATTTTGAAAGCGTAATTTCTGCTTGAAATCAATGCAATTTATATAAAAATTTCAAACACGGCTCCAAATTGTTCTTGAAATTTCTTGGTAAGATAGAGTGAAGGGCCCATGAGATACAATGCAGGTTTTCTTAATTTGCGAAAATGGCAAAAGTTGGAAGGAATGCGAGAAAGTATATGATATTGTAGTGTATTTCCAAGTCCATCTCAGTTTCCCCTTTGTAGTTGCTTGTTAGCTATGACGAGGAGTTGAGTTGATACGATGACGCCTGGGATAGGAGGAGCCCAAGGCCGAGGGCAGGGGCTCCGGGCGTTGCTGCAAATTCATTAGAGGACCCCGCGGAATCATTAGAGGTCTCCGCCGCAACTGGAAGACTCTCGAAGAACATCGTTTCAGTTGCGATCTGCTTACCTTTAAATGACACTATCCAGCTCCAATAGTTTTCCATTTTTGGTTGATTCTGGAAAATGTGGATCATGGAACGGCGGTGAACCACAAAAATATAGATTAATATTGTAAGTATTAATACTGGGTTTTTATTAGTTTTGTCTAAACAAATGAATGAACTCTTTTTTCAATCAGTTCTTTAATTAAATTATATTTAATTGAAAATTTCATTGAGGTCTACAAGCGCCACGTGGTTTGGGTAATTATGAGCTGCAGTGCTGGGATGTGCATACTTGTTCCACAGGTGCCGTCGGGGGCGGGGCAGGAGGCGGGCGCTGGCCCCGATGGGACGTCGCTGATCTCTGTGCTCTGCGCGCCGCACAGGAGGTTCGCCCTCGTCTGCAGGCACTGGGCCGACACGCTCGAGGTAACAACCCACCGACCGTCATACACATACTAATATTTGCATTGTAGTGAAGTTATTAAATATTTTAATCGAATACGTTATGAATACTAATCAACAAATAAAAATATTTGTTTTATTCGGCATAAATGAAAAATTCGTCGTTTGTAAGAAAACATCAAGTGGACTCTATGCTTATAGTCCACCCACCGCAGGAAAAGCTTGATTGCCTCACTACACATTGGACAGGTTTATGGCCAGGGAAGTCCAAAAGAGAGAAGGGAGAATTTTCCCCAGGCCCTTTTGTAATTGGGACCCGATTTTATTCCATCCAAAACAAAGAAAAATACTTCTAGGCTGTCAGGGTGACGCCGCGTCGTTGGCAGATAGGCCGTCGTTTCGCCTGTCATGTCGCAGGCGTCTTCAGGGTAGTGACACAGTAAAGCTCCGCCTCCGGTGTTGTATCTTTCTCACCTTAGGGGCCGGGTGACGCAAGTGCGCCGTGATTGGCGGAGAGGTCCCTCTGATTGGCTCGCGGTCTGGGCCAACCCGGGTCTCGCACCCGCCGTCGTAGAGATCGGACGGTATTGAACAGTCCCCGCGCAGTGAGGAATCGGTGAAAGAATATACTTCCGGGCGTGGTTTAGATTAAGGCCTGCATCCGCGTTGATGTGCGGCCGTCTACTAATTTCTATTGCCTCTTTGACGCGTCTAGGCAAGTATCGGTTTTCACTGTGCAGGAGCCGGGTCTATTAAATTCAATAGCATGACCGGTGACCTCGGAGTGGAGTGCTATGGTCGAACGGTGGGTTTGGTTCTTATTGTAATAACTAATGTGTTCCCTAAGTCGTTCAGACACTGTACGCCCTTTCTCACCGAAATACGATCTGCCACAGCTGCAGGGAACTTCGTAAACGCCTGCCGCCTGGAGAGGTGGTAAAGCATCTTTAATGCGTACCAGGGTCTTGTGCAGTTTGTCGGGAGCCGTGAAAACTGTCCGGATGTTGTTCTTGCTAAGCAGTTTTCCTACGCGATCTGTGACGCTGCGGACGTACGGAAGCACGGCTAATCGAGTACTGGTCGTCTCCTCTGTCTCCGGATTAGAGTGGAGGCCATCGTCGTTGTTGCGAACTTCGGAAACCCCGTGCCCTTTAACACAGGCGAGCGCTCGTTTGATAGAAGATCGGGAGTAGCCGTTAGCTCTAAAGGTGTGTTCAAGCTTCTCGAGTTCCTCAGGAAGAGAGCGCTCGTCGCACACCTTCAGAGCTCTTGTGAACAGTGTCTTCAACACCCCTAGTTTTGTAGCCGGATCGTGATGCGAATCCGCGTGGAGGTATCTGTCCGTGTGGGTCCCTGCTCTCTTCCTGAGGAACTCGAGAAGCTTGAACACACCTGCGTGTACAAATAAAAATACTTGTAATTCAAATTCAAATCGCTGTGTTTTTTGATATGTCAGGGAAAAATAAATTATCTTTGTGTATTGAGGAGGGGATGTTTTTTTTTAAATTAAGGGCCTCCTTTGATGTAGTGCCCCAGGCCTCTTGCTTTCTCTGGACCCCTGTGTTTGGATAAATGCGACCGATTAATCTCATTTTGTTGACGTGAAAAATAATTTTAATAATAATGTAAATTTCATGTCTTTCATTTGATAAAAAGAAAATCAAACTGTCATTTCATCGTGAAGTGAAACAAAGATGATGAAATGATAGGTGGGTACAATACCTACTACATTAGTATTGTGAGTATTATATCAGTACTGGTAGATCGATATGAAAAAATGGGGATCGTTTGCAACACCTGAGTATTGGAACGTGTGTGGGGAATAATAAATTAAGAACCCATGTAGGCTAATACACTACGAAAGTTGTTACGTGTATTCCTCTGCGAATTTTGCTCCGTGCGTAGCCAAAATTGCTGTCTGAGCGACCGTACCTTTTACTCTACTATCTACATTGTAAATTAGTCCTCACTTTGTGTAGTTGTCGCTAGCAGACATGGCTTGTGCACAGGGGCTGGAGGCGGTGCAGCAGGTGCTGGGTGAGCACCTCATCGGAGAAGTGCTGTTCCGCGCGCAGCTGGGCCAGCTCACTCCGCGCACCCACCTCGCAGCTCTGGGCGACGCTCCCTCCCCCTCGGGCCCTGGGGCGCCGCCCACGCGCTCCGCGGCCTCCGCCTCCGACCTCGGCCCCTAGACCTTGAGGCGCCTTCGCAAGCCGGGTGTCCGATGACAGATCGCACTTTTTACAATCTGATGGACGTTCTTCTTGAGATGTAAAAGAGCTACGTTTTACTTTGTTTTATTAAGTGAGATGGCAATGCCTTATTGTTTGGACCATATTATTGTTTTACTTGTGAATTCAATAACCCACTTTAGTTAATAAATACAATTTATGTTTTTATTAAATTGCAATAAAGATAAATATTTATAATTACATCCTTGTTGATGTTACTTTTTGAATTCTGCTCGCATGTAGTTTTGAAACACATCATCCAAATGTCATTATTTCGTGTTATGTCGTATTTGTTGAACTAAAAACGTATCTCTTGATCACGAAAATATACTGCAATGCAATTAAATATTATTTATGTAAATTGATAAACCATTCTACGTCACGTACTGAAAATAAATCGTATTTATTAATTCTAACATTACTGTTTTTTCTTCGTTGCGTTCACAGTGTAATCTGAACATTTGAGCATCGTCTCACTTTTAGTGTTAGTGCTAAAAATTGAATTCAAAAAGTATCCGCTTTTGCTAGTGGCTCTTTACAAAGTATAATTTTTATTACAAACTTCTTAGAACATAGTATTAGGAGTTTGAGATTGCTGAGTTTCAAACTCACACAACATGTAAGTAGTATATCTAATACAATATATTTATCGGAATTTAAAGTAACTATTGTTTGCGATGTTGTAACAGCACTAGGTGTTTTAGTCACAAACATGCGTGGAACGCTCTCGTGGCGCGTCCAGTTCCCAGAGCCACCCAAGGGAAGACGTACTTCTCAAAGCTTGTTAATGGAACTTCTCTGACAAATGCTCTACTACAATGTTGTTTCGATTGGTTTTGGAACTAATTCACCGTGCGTTCCCGGCATTCGTTGGCCAATTGCGGTGTTTACAGGCGACTCCTTTAAGGAGAGCGAAAGCGATAAACATATATGCGGAGACCAGAGTTTTGGGGATATATAAACTGCTTTTTTGTGGTTTTAAATGTAACTGCTGCTACGAAAGATATTATTTGTATACTAACACTAATAAAAAATAAATAATAAGAATAGTAATAATAATAGTAGTTAGTCGTAGTGCGTAGTGGTAGTGTAGTATAGTAGTAGTAGTAGTAAAAGTAAGTAGTGGTAGTGGTAGTCGGTAAGCTGCGCGTAGTGCAGTGGCCAGTGACAGATGAGCCAGTAAGAGTAGTAGCAGTAAGCAGTATAGTAGCAGTAGTAGCCAGTAGTGAGTAGTAGCCAGTAGCAGTAGTAGTAGCCAGTAAGTAGCGAATATAGTAGTAGCAGTAGCAGTAGTTAGTTAGGGAAGGAGTAGTAGTAGTGAGTAGTGAGGAGAGTAAGTGAGTAGTAGTGAGTAGGAAGTAGTTAGATAGTAGTAGGAGTAGTTAGTAGTAGTTAGTAGTAGTCAGCGAGTATAGTGGTAGTGGGTGAGTGGTAGTATGGGTAGTGGTAGTAGTTGTAGTTTGTAGTTGTATGCTAGTTGCTAGTTTGTAGTTGTAGCTAGTTGTAGTGTAGTAGTTGCTATTGTAGTAGTAGTTGTAGTTGTAGTTGTAGTTGCTAGTGTATTGTATTGTAGTTGCTCAGTTGAGTTGTAGTTGTTAGTTGTAAAGTTGTAGTTGTAGTTGTAGTTGTAGTGTAGTTGTAGTTGTTGTAGTAGTAGTAGTAGTTTATTGCTAGTTTGTTGTAGTAGAAGGGTAGTTGTAGTTGCTTAGTTAGTAGTTGTAGTTGTTGTAAGTAGTAGTAGTTGTAGTATGTAAGTGAGGTAGTAGTAAGTAGTTGTAGTAGTGAGTTGTAGTAGTAGTAGTTGGAGTTAGTAGTAGTAGAAGTGTATATATGTATTTGGCATTTCGGGTCGGATCAATCCAACTTTTGCCAGGTAGCTGTGTTCCCAGGCCAGGTCCCAGTTTTTATTTATTATCCACGCCTGGGGGTAAGGGAGTTGTGTGTCGAGCATGATGTATTCTCCTACCGTATGTAGCGTACTTGGCCTGCATGAGAGTTTTCTTCCGTCACGCACCTGTAGAAACTCAGACGATTTATAACTTAATTTTTATTACGACCGGGAATCGAATCCAAGACCCCTTCACAAAAAGCTTTCACACTGCTCATGATCCATCTAACACTAAAGCTGCTACTGCTGCTAATAATAATAAAATTAATAATAATAATAATAATAATAATAATAATAATAATAATAATAATAATAATAATAATAATAATAATAATAATTCTTACCAAGTATCGAATGCACCATCCCAACAGTTCAATGGCAAGACTATACTTACCTCGGAACGAAGGAGGTGGAGGTCTCCCGGATTTTGAGACCTTGTGTGCGAAGCAAATCAACAATCTTCGCAAATATTTCCTTCAGAAAACGACGATCATGCGTGAGGCAGTTTGTGCCGCGGTCAAGAATTTTGCCCCACTGAACCTGAATCAAGCGGACTCTGAAAGACCATGTATCACGAAAGAAGGTAGGCTGAGTGAGTGGAACCAGAAGCGTTTGCGCGGCAGGTATGCTGCTGAGCTCAAAGGAAACGCCTCTTTGCTGAGACAGAAGGGTTCGTCATTTCTATTCAGGACGAAGTAACCTCTTCTCGCAATTACCAAAGGCATGTAATTGAGGATATGAGTGTAGAGGACCGCAGTCGCCTTTGCATTCAATCCGGCGAAACCCTCCAACACATCACGGGGGGTGTTCTCCTTTGGCGCAAACAGAATACTTGAGTTGGCACAACGACGTTGCTGCGGTTGTCCATCAGGCCCTGGCTGCAAAGTCGGAGATGATACGGATAGAGGTCTCATACTACAAGTTCAAGACGGATTCAGTTTTGGACTCGAAACCGGGGAAGCTCTTTTGGAATGTAGCAATGTAGCATGTCACCACTGGGCGCAGGGTCGAAGCCAACAGGCCTGACATAATATGGATTGACAAGGCTTCACGGAAAGGGATTAAAGCCGACATAGCTATCCCTTCAGACCGAAATTTAGTTGCCCCTGTTGCCGAAAGAAGCGAAAATATCAGGACTTGGCTATTGAACTGAGTGACATGTGACGGTTAGTATCTGTTGAAGTAGTCCGTGTGGTCATCTCTGCAAATGGACTGATCTCCGAAGAACTAATTTCATCGTCTACAGGGCCTGGCCTTAAGAACTGGCACATTCAGACAATGCAAAAGTCTGTTCTCCTGAGTACTACACGCATCGTTAGGAAGTTTTTAATGATATAACTGACCGCCGGAGTTTGCAAGCGAAGCAGGCACCTTGGTTCTACAAAGGTCCCGGTGTCTGCTATACGCACTTCGCTAAGTGAGATACGTGAAGAAATAATAATAATAATAATAATAATAATAATAATAATAATAATAATAATAATACCAGTAAAGGGAACATAATCCTGAAATCCACATTCGTGTTTTCAATGTCTTAGTAGTAGAGAATGCGGGTCATGGGAGTATTCCACCTGATCAATATTCCTGCTACCATCGCTGTATCCGTGACGCCTCCGAGGTAGCGCCACAGCGCGAGATACAGAGGCCACCCCCACCGCTCCGTTGACCTACTCTGCCTTCTGATATGACAAGTATATGGCCTCGTTAGGCGATGCTGAATTTATCTCATACTACAATAAAAGGTTTATTGAAGTGGATAATTCTGCACTCAAAAAGCGAATGTGCAGTTTGTCAAACTAACTTTAAAACTCGAATAATTTGTATCTGTTTCGTGATGGAGTTGAAACCAAATATTAGAAAACGAAGTCAAAATTGACTATCTAAACTCGTAAATTACAGTTGCGTTATTTCATATAAATTTCGGAGGAAAATATGAATTTATGATGTAAATAATAATTTTGTCCGCATACACATTACCAGCTTGCTTTCTTGAGAACTTATGCAGAGTAAGACTGGTGTTTCCTTTTATATATATATATATATATATATATATATATATATAATATATATATATATATTATATATATATATATATATACAGGCGGACCCGACAGACTTCGTCCTGTCAAAAGATTTGTAATGTGACAGTTTTTTGTTCCTACATATTTTATAGTCTGGGCACAAAATCTCCTGCGACAGAACCGTCACCCTGGTGATAGGACGTTGTGAATAAGAATATAATTAAATAAAACATATATAAACATTTAAAAGTAAGTAATCGGCTTTTATTGTTAATCATGTGAATCATAATTATGAACAAAAATCAGTTTTATTTTCATGTAGTGCTTTGTGATATACAATGTTTTTTGTTTGATTACCTGGCGCATAGACAAACAAATCTGATGGTTTTTCCTCAACACGGGAACAGGCAACATACAACTGACCATGTGAGAAACATAGGTTTTCCAGATTAATACACAAACACTTGATGATTTCCCTGCGGACTTGTTTATGGTTATAGCAAAAGCAAGCCGAACTGGAAAATGTAGTCGTTTAAAGTTAAACGACACATCAGTCGGAATCATTGTGATGCGCGGTATGAGAAGCGTCTTCTCCTTATTATTTCCTTTCAGTATAGTTGCTTCTATCACGTTGTTTAGTAATTTTTTATCGCTAACCGTATGCCGTTGCAAAGACGTGTTGGTTGGATATTTCGCAACATTATAACTGCCGATCCAACCTTTACTTGAGATGTGATGGGCAATCTGCGTAAAATCCAGCGAGTTTAAAAATTCTGGTGGATAGTTCACTTCATCATCTTGCATAGTAGCCAATCAACTGATTTATATGATATCCTCGATTCGCCTGTAATTTGTTCTTGAATTTGTCAATTAATTCATTTACATCAATGTTTTTTGCAGCACATATAGCTCGTTCCCCAACCAATCATGGTTTCTGTAATTTTGAGAAACATCTTGGAAACACCTTCTGAATAAGTTCATCTTTTGATCAAGTTAAAGGGCAAAAACTTTGAGGAAAGTTAATGCAGCCAGTCAACATGTCTATAGAATATTGCCATTACCAATGTCAAGAGTTGTTTAGAGAATAAGTTTCCAGATTGTCGTCATTTTGCAACTCGACACGCATATTCTTACTTAAAAAATGTACTCTGACATGTTTCCACAAATTGGGATAGAACTTTAGACATGCATTGAGTTCATTCAGCTTTGTGTTGAACGTGGAATCACTGGCAATGCGTGACGAAACTCTCCTGCTAATAAAATCATTGCACCACAAATGGTTATGATTGCTCTGTAGATCTTTTAAGTTCTGTCTAAAGCTCCAAAGATTTTTTATGTGTCATCGTGCATTCTCCCAAACAATTATTTACATTGCTGCCAAGACCTTTGCCATTGCAGAGTCTTCGAAAATGTTGCAAGGTCGAGTTTCATTGATTTGCATATTTAATCGCAATTTTAATGCTGAATGTGCTGTTCGAACCACCTTCAAGCAAAG